ACCAGGGATATTCCACCCTGCTGCACGGTGGAGTGTGAGCTGAGGTGTGAGCCGAGGGAGGGCTGCTGACGTGGGGTGATGTGTGACTGGGCACTTGCTCAAGTGCCCGCTTCCCCCTTTCATGCTGCTGTATTTTACTTCCATCCTTCTCCCTGCCTCTGGGCTCGCGTGCCTCGTGACCTGCCTCCTAACAAGAGACGCTGCAGAGCAGCAGGCTGGCAGGCAGACACAAGAAGGGGTGGCAGTGAGAGCATTTTCCAGCCAAAGGAAAGAGGCAAGGGACTCCAAAATGAAGGACAGGCTCCCCATGGCAGGTTAGGGGATCCTGAGACAAGGCTGGGCAGATCGACAAGGGCTAATTCACACAGCGCACATATGCATGCACCTCAGGGATCCAGGATAAGATCCTGATGAGGCGAATAGGATGCCCCTGGAGGTTGCTAGGCAAGAGCACAGCATGTGCACGCGTGTCTGTGTCTGTGTGCGAATGTATGGAGATGTGTATCCATAAGTGAATATAAAACTTTGACTTCGATGTGGAGGGCAGTTTGGAAGGGAAACAAAAATGGATGCCAGAAAAACGAGAGGCGATGATTGCAGCCATCCGAGACCAATGCAGGTGACTTGCAGTAACAGCAGCGAAAGAAACAGTGGGAGGTCATTTAAGAACTGTTTCTGAAGGGGGACTGACAGGCTGTCGAGTCTGCGTAGATGTGTTCACAAATTGGGCAGTCCTGGGATCGTCCTCTGTTTCTGGCTAAGCAGTTCAGAGACAGTTCTACTTCTTAGGAGATCTGCTTGGGACACGTGAGGCCTGGGGGTCTGAGACGTCCAAGTCACCATCAAAAGCAAGACTTGGAGCAAGTGGTGGCATGACCTTGTGTTGCCAGCACTTAGTGGGTAAAGGCAGGAGAATCCCCGTGAGTTTGAGGTCTGTCAGGTATATATACATATATATGTATATATATACCTGTGTGTATATACATATGTGTATATACACATATATATGTATACATATATGTGTGTGTGTGTATATATATACACACACAACGAGTTCCAGGCCAGCCAGCATCCAAGGACCTTGACTGGACGTCCCCCTTGTCACCACAGGAGCACTGTTTTCAGGGTCAGAGCCTCAGCCATAGAGTCATTTCTAACCATGGAGTAATATTGGTCACTGCCAGGAACGGGGTGTCGGGTGAGGAGACAGAGGGATCAACCTCAGGAAGCCCACACTTGTAGGGATGGGCTGCAGGAGAGGTCAGTGAAGCCGAAAGGGAGGCCGCTGCCAGGGAGCTGGGGAGAAAGCAGAGAACTCTCCCCACCTCTCTGTCCTCTCCTGCCACCACCTGACAAGGCAGCCTTCAGTGAGACCCTTAAAGCTGAAGGGTGCCTCATGCTACTTCTGTGAGCTGCATTCATTCAGATGAAGAGGTCAAGTCCTTGTC